AGACCCTTCATCAGAAAACTTTTCTGATGAAGGGTCTAGGCCCGAAACGTCAGCCTTTCTGCTCCTATGATGCTGCTTGGCCTGCTGTGTTCATCCAGCCCTGCACCTTGTTGTCTCGGATTCTCCAGCATCTGCAGTTCCTACTATCTCTGATTCAATTCCCCACCACTTGCACAGATAGCTCATATAAAGAGTAGCAGGTAATATGCTTTAGGAATATATAGCAAACCCTTCAATAACCTTGGTTTTTAAGCCAGTCATTTTCTTATTTCTGATAATTCTGACCACAATCAGAAATACAGAAAATAAAAAAGATATGCTCTTTGCAGTGTGCAGTACATGAGCTGTTCCCTAACCAGTATTTTATATGGTTCTAGCATAACCTCCCTGCCTTCATACTCTAGGCCTGAATGAATACAGGCATGTATCTGTATACCTTCTTTATCACCTTATCCAACTGTCCTTTTTTATCTTCAGGGAGCATGCACTCTAAGGCTACTCTTTTCTCCTACACTTGTAATTTACCATTTATTATATATTTCTTTTCCTTGTTTTCACCATCCTCACCCCTGTAAATGCATTCCCTCTCCATTCTCTGGATGGAATTTCATTTGTCACCTTGAGTTTCATTTATCACCTTTCTACCCACCTGACTAATCCATTTACATTTCCTGCTGTCTGCAGTTTGTTTATCCAATATTAAATATGCAGCCAAGTTTTGATAGCAAGTACAAACATTTTAATAATTTAAGTCTGAATCTTTTATATATGTTATGAAAAATGAGGGATCTCATACACACCACTGAAAACAGGCTTCCAGTCACAAAGATATCATTAGATCCTGTTTCCTACCTCAGAGCTAATTTTTCATCCAACTTTTCACTTGTTCATAGATCCCATATAAACTTTTACTGTTTTGACCAGCCTGTCATGTTAGATTTTGCTAAAAGCCATGCAATAATCCACGGAAACCACGGCAAATACATTAACCAGATAAACCCTTCATATTACTTGTTCAACAATTCAACCCAGTTAGTCAGACTCAGTCTTCGCTGAACAAATCCATCCTGTCTGTCCTTGATTAGTTTGCACCTTTTTAAATGATAATCTATGCTGTTCCTTGGAATCTTTTTTGATCATTTTCCCACCGAGATAAGACATGTTTATTTAGAAAAGCTAAGGATGAAATTCCTTTGGACGGGATTGTCATTGGGCATAGTTTGAGAATTAAGGCCAGACCATTCAGGTGAGATAGTAGGAACTGCAGATGCTGGAGAATCTGAGATAACAAGGTGTAGAGCTGGATGAACACAGCAGACCAAGCAGCATCAGAGGAGCAGGAAGGCTGACGTTTTGGGCCTAGACCCTTCTTCAGAAAAGGGGGAGGAGAAGGGGGTTCTGAAATAAATAGGGAGAGAGGGGGAGGCAGATAGAAGATGGATAGAGGAGAAGATAGGTGGAGAGGAGACAGACAGGTCAAAGAGATGGGAATGGAGCCAGTAAAGGTGAGTGTAGGTGGGGAGTTAGGGAGGAGATAGGTCAGTCCAGGGAGGATGGACAGGTCAAGGGGACGGGATGAGGTTAGTAGGTAGGAGATGGGGGTGGGGCTTGAGGTGTAAGGAGGGGATAGGTGGGAGGAAGGACAGGAGATGTTAGGAAACATTTCTACACACAATGATTTTTGGAACTCTCTTCTGCAAACAGCAGTGCAGGCTGGATCAGTTGATAATTTAAAATCTGAGATTGTTTATTTTTTGTTTAGCAAAGGTATCAAGGGATATTGGCCAAAGGAGGGTATATGGAGTTAGGTCACAGATCAGCCAGGATCTCATTGAACGGTGGATCAAGGGGCTGAATAACCTACTCCTCTTCCAATGTTTCTACGTTCCTATGCTAGGTAGCGAGGCAGAATTTCATCACCTTTGATGACTGATACCCAAGTCCGATCTTGCTCATGATGTTCTAACATTTACAAACTTCCTGTCTTACATCTACTGGGGCAGATTGCAAAAACAAAACGTTACCCTATGGGCACTGTAAGTTACCAAGAAAACACAGGAGACATGTTTCAGTGTTGTCCTACCTCGTTACTTCACTGGTTCCTTCAAGTAAGTAGAAGGGCACCAGTTCATTATATTCATCGAAAACTCCCCACTGAAGATGAGCCCATTCATGAACAAATACTCTATCTGTAGAAACAAGAGCACTTTTTGTTAAAATAAAAATCCAATGCATACACTTTCTGCAAGAAATAACCTCTTGATCAACCAGAATACTTGATCAAACGACACACTCCTGGTCCAATAGGTGCCAGATAATGAAAGGTTTGTTGTATTTCCAACTTTGCCTTCATCATATCTCATTATCATAATAACTCCTGTATTCATTTTATCCAAAAGCTTGTGATTTCAAATAAACCTGTTGGACTATAACCTGGTGTCGTGTGATTTCTGACCTTGTCCAGCCCAGTCTAACACCAGCACCTCCACATCATAAGTATCAGCTCGGATAATGTTTACCAGCTAAGCAGTCTTAAGTCAGTGCTTAAAGCACATGCTACTACATTCTAAATTACTTCAGATGATTTACCTTTCGGTCCATAAACTGAAACCAGACTGCTGTTCAGTATAAAGTT